GGGGGGGGGGGGGTGCCCTAGCACCCCCTCCCCCGTTCTGGGCGGTGGCTAAAAACCACAGTTGAAACTGCTGAGTGCTTGAGGAGATTGAGATGGCAGGCCTGCACAGGAGCGGTCAGGCAGTGGTGCCTGCTCCCTGGCGTGCATACATATACTTAGTGGTACGCGCTTATGCACCCACGGTACATAGACCAGTACCCATGCCTGGATACCTGTGTGAACACATGTGGATGTACTCAGAGCACATACCCCTATGTATATGACACATGCTTGTGCATTCACGCCTACAGTGAGCAATCTGTACGCATATAACTCAAGACAGAACGCATGGGGCACTAGCCTTCACCGGCAAGACTGGAGCCAAAAGGGGATCGAGCGCCATCCGGCAGGGTCCAGGAGCCCTCACTCCAGCCGCTGTGGAGCAGGACACCAGCTTTGCGGGTCCCTACCCCGGGAGTTGGGGTGGAGCGTGAAGACCAAGTTCAAGGCTTGAAACTCCAAAGCTCAGGATGCTACCTGGGGCAAAGGGGACCTCAGAGAGCACCTCCCTGGGAACTTTGGCTGTGGCGCAAATTAAGGACTGCTACGTGCACCCCGGCAGTTTTGTGACTTCACGATCGCGCGCAACACGACGCGCGGGCACGCAGCTAGACAGCCGTCTTCCTCCTCGGGAGTTCGCGCGCACGTTCTAGGGGCTACAACGCGGTACGCGAGGCCCGGGAAAAACGTTAGCCCCGCCTCCTCGCCCCGAGAGGGCGCCTGCGTACTGAGCTAGATGAAGCCTTCTCTCGCTGTAGGGCCAGCTCGGGTGCAGCGTATGCGCACGCGCCACCCTGCGCCTGCCGGGAAGAGTCACGTGACAGCTGTCGTAAGCGCCTCAGAGAGGAGACAGCAACGTAGTTTCCGTTTCCGCCCCTTCTTCCTTTTCCGGTCCTGGCGGACGCCTCTTCGGTTGGAGTCTCGGCCCGGTGCCCCGGCGTGGGAGGCGACCGTAGTCATGGCGATGTTTGAGCAGATGAGAGCGAACGTTGGCAAGTTGCTCAAGGGTATCGACAGGTCTGAGCCCGGTCGGAGGGAGCGTTTCTGGCCAGGCGGCGTGGTGGAGAGGATTTTCTAGAGACAGCAAGGGGTGGTCGGGATCCTGGACTTGCTCGGCAGTAGGCTCCCACTCTTCCCGGCGGAGATGTTTAAGGAAACGGCGCTGCTTGGACCTACGGACCTACAGCCTTGCCTACCTCTTACTGCTCCCCCCCCCCCTTTTAATTGCTTTAAGGTCTCTCTGCTTCTCAGCTTTCCCTCTCATAGCCTCAAGATTCCCGTGACTGTGTTCCTCAACCTCTCACTGCGTGTCAGTGCCTCTTCATGTCGTCTTTCCTTTTCCTCTCATGCCATTTATTCAGCACACGTTACTGGAATCTACTCTGTCAGGCTGGGCAGTGCTGGGGACCAGAGGTGACCAAGACAGCTGCAGGCCATGCTTTTCGTGCAGTTCTCAGTTCAGAGTCCAGACAAACCGGACAGTAGGCAGTGATAGTGGTCAGGCCTGGAGTGGGAGAAGCTAAAAGGAGTCTGGGCGCGGAGGGGGAGAAGGGGGTGAGTGGCAAAGATGTCCAGGAGACCAGGTATACGGGTTACAATGACTGATTGGCTGAGAGGTTAGGGGTGCATCCTAGAAAGGACCCAGGGCTCTGATGGGGTTCAGAGCTTAGGCTTAGGTCTGGAAAGTTGGCAAGTGTTATTAGAGATTATATGGCTGATTCAAGACTTTAGTAGAGTAAGTGGTTAGTGCCAGATTTAGAGGGAAGGAGGAACAGATTGCAGTGCCCCCCACCCCCCCCCCAAGTGACTGGTCTCAGCCCCTGTCTCCTCACTGCTCACCCATCTTGATTCTTCTGTAGGTACAATCCTGAGAATCTGGCCACGCTGGAGCGGTATGTGGAGACACAGGCCAAGGAGAATGCCTATGATCTGGAAGCCAACCTGGCCGTCCTGAAGCTGTGAGTGTCTGTCTCCATCCCCGCCTCCAGGCCAGCAACCAGCAGGGTACCGCTGGCAACATTGGATGAGGCTGAAGTTGGGGGTAGCCTTTGGGATGTGGCTTTTCTTGGTGTGCAAAACTAGGAAGCCAAGGGAGTTGGGGCAGGAGGAAAGATGGTTTTTAAAAAAGTAATTACAGGGTACACATATAGGTTAGTACAAAACACAAACGAATAGCTAAGTGAGTATAAGTGAAACCCCATGTGATCACCACCCATAGCATAGAGGTGAGTGTTGCCCAGGGCCCCAGGCCCTTTGCCTTGTATGCTTTGTGCCACCACCTTACCCCCACCCTGGTGACCACTTTAGGCTCTCGTGGTCTGGCTTCATGTGAGTTTACCACACTCGCATGCATACCGATTAGCTTAGCTTACTTTTGTTTGCTTTGAACGTGACGCAAATGTAGTCAGACGGCGTGAGCTTTTCTAGACTCGGCATCTTCCTCGTCTCGCTGGGTTTGTGAGATCCATCCATTTTGTCTGGGCTGCAGGTTTTTGTTTTTGCTGTTTAGTGCTCCGCTGTGTGACTGTCTTAATTGCCCATTCGCTTGTTGACGGATAGTTGAGTTCCTTCCTCGTGGTGCTTTCTCAACATACTGTCAGTTGTGTAATTTTTATATATTGTCTCGATTCTGACGTCCGGGAAATGGAGATATAACAACACTTGTACTGATGGGGTTGTCCATTGTTTCTGATGATAACTGCTGCTTAGTGGGTGCTTCTCATGCGGTAGCTACCGTGCTGTCAGCTTTTGTGTGTTTTAACTCGGATGCTATACTGCCCTTGTGAAGAAGATAGGGTCATTCTTGTCCCTTTTTTTCGAGGGAGGAAACTGATGCACAGAGAATTTAAAATAGTCCAGGGTCCCTTAGCAGGGAAGTTTAAATCCAAGCAGTCTGGACCGAGAGCTGCTGGAGGGGAGGGGGGTGGGTAACAAGGTGACGGGCATTAACGAGGGCATTTTTTGGGATGAGCAGTAGATGTCGTATGTAAGAGATGAATCACTGGGTTCTGCTCCTGAAGCCAAGACTACACTGATGACGAACTTGGATTTTTGTTATTATTACTATTATTTTAATGTTTGTTTATTTTTGAGAGAGAGGCAGAGAGCATGAGCAGGGAGGGGCAGAGAGAGAGGGAGACACAGAATCCAAAGTAGGCTCCAGGCTCTGATCTGTCAGCACAGAGCTCGACGTGGGGCTCAAACTCATGAACCACAAGATCATGACCTGAGCCGAAGTCAGATGCCTAACCAACTGAGCCACCCAGGCACCCCAACTAACTTGAATTTTTAAGGGGGTGAGGGGGGCTGGGTGGCTCAGTCCGTTAAGCATCCGACTCTTGGTTTCTACTCAGGTCATGATCTCGCGGTTAGTGAGTTTGAGCCCCGTGTCAGGCTCTGCGCTGACAATGCGGAGCCTGCTTGGGATGCTTTCTCTCTGCCTCTGCTCGTGTGCTCACTTGCACTTTATCTCTCTCTCAAAAGTAAAAAAAAAAAAAAAAAAAAAAAATCCAAGCAGTCTGGTTCCAGGGCCTCAACCACTATTCCAGACTAATACTTACATTGTCATTTGTGAACCACTTAACAGCATCCGCCTTACTGGGTGGTTGGGAGGATTAACTGTCCCCCATCTGCAGAACAGGGATGTAGGTCAGGGAGGTTAAGGTCACAGAGCCAGAATGCTGTGATTGGGAATGGAGCCCAGGCACGTCCAGCTCCCAAGCTCTGGGCCAAAGCGCCGGGCATCTGATGAGGCCCAGGGACCGGCAGATGCCACGATTGATGTGTCTCTTGTTCCCCTTCTCAGGTACCAGTTCAACCCAGCCTTCTTTCAAACCACGGTGACCGCCCAGATACTGCTAAAGGCCCTCACCAACCTGCCCCACACCGACTTCACACTGTGCAAGTGCATGATCGATCAGGCACATGTATCCTTCTAATTTCCAGGCTGGGCGTGTGGGCGAGGGGGGAGGGCAAGGTAGGTGAATTCACGGGGAAGGGGTCTGTGAGTTCAGCCACAAACACTTGGGTGCCTGCTCCGGGCTTGCAGTGCTGGATGGGACATTTTGGTGGCTGAAACAGGTCTGGCCCCTGCCCTCACAGAGCTCACAGTCCAGTGGGGGAGATAGGTCCTCTATCAGTGACAGCCTGGAGAAGTCAGGGGTTGGGGTTTAGAGGGGCCAGAGGAGAGGAGGCACCTGCCCCTGCCTGGATGTTAGGGAAGACTTCTTGGAGGAGGAGACATCCGGAAGATGAACGAAATGAAATTTTAAGGAAGGGTGATCAAGCAGAGGGAACAGTACGTAAGAAGGCCTGGAGGAAGAGAAGAGCTTGGTGCTCTTTCAGAGGCAGTAGAGGAAGTTCAGCGCGGCCTTACCACAGATTTCAAGATACATTTTGGTCAGACTCAAAAGGGCGCTAGGAAACTATAGAAGGTTTTAAAACCGCAGAGTATTATGGGTAGGTTTCTGCCTTAGAAGGATTCCCACGAGGGTTCTAGCTGATTAAGGAGGAGGAAGTGGGGCCTGAGCACCAGGCAGGAGTCATGAAGAGCTGCATTGACAGCTGTATGTGGCACACTGCTGGCCTTTAGTGACGGTGTTGAGTGAAAATGAACTGGCTTCCCGCCCCCCGCCCAACCCCATCTTGCTCTGACCTGCTTTTTTGTGGCTGGTCCAGCACTTGGCCGGGTGGGCCTCCCTCTGCCCGGCGATCACTTGACACACTCGGCAGAGCCACCCCATCCACACCGTGCCCCTTGCTGCTGGCACTCCCGGTCCCCAGGGCTGCCGCATGCAGCTGAGCTGAGAAGTGGTGGCTTACGCCTTGAACCTGCGCTGCCAGGTGTGTCCGTGGGAGGTCTACCTTCTGTGAAACTGTCCACCTTCTCCAGAGGTCTGCTCTGGTGGCTTAAAAAAAATAGGCTGGGGCGCCTGGGTGGCTCAGTCAGCTGGTTAAGCGTCTGACTTTGGCTCAGGTCATGATCTCACAGTTCGTGAGTTCGAGCCCCGCGTCGGGCTCTGTGCTGACGGCTCGGAGCCTGGAGCCGGCTTCAGATTCTGCGTCTCCCTCTCTCTGCTCCTCCCCTGCTCGTGCTCTGTCTCTCTCTGTCTCTCAAAAATAAATAAACATCCAAAGAAATAGGCATATGGTATGGCGTTACAGGTACAGAAAGAGTGTATGGTGGAAAAAGACAGAAGCTTCCTCCCTCCCCTGTCCCGCAGCCACCCCACTCCCCACCGCCAGGAGACAACAGTTGTTTGCAGTTCTTGGGTACCCACCCTGCCAGGGATCCCCTGGGGACGCACAAGTACAGTTGTGTGCGTTCATGTCCATATGCTCCCCACCCCCACGGTGGCGCTCAATGCATGCTGGTATGCATCTTGCTTTCGTATCCCAGCGTGTCTTGTCGCGCCTCTGCGTTGGTTCTCAGAGAGTTGACTCGATCCCAGTATGTGGACAGGCCAGTCGCTGACTTAATTGTCTCCTGTCGTTGGCTCGCCGTTTGCCTTCACAGTTGTGCTTCGGCGGACAGAAGGTGGGCACGGGGAGATGGCTCGGCCGCGGCCTCCCGAGGCTCAGGTCTGTTTTCCCTTAACGCTTTCCCGTCTCAGCAAGAAGAACGACCAATCCGACAGATCTTATACCTCGGGGACCTGCTGGAGACCTGCCACTTCCAGGCCTTCTGGGTAACTTGGCTCCCGGGCCGGGGGGCAGGGTGGGCTGCTGGGCCCGGCACGGCAGCCTGCTGAATGGGATGACCCTGCACATTTGTCGTCCGCCTGCACAGCGGTGGGCGGTGGCTCCTGTGCCCAGGGCTCTGCGAGTGTGACCGCGTGGATTTGTCACCCTCGCAGAGTCCGGACTCCCACGTCGTCCCTTGTGCCCCCAGCACCCAGGGCAGGGCACCCGTGCGTGCCCTCACATCTGTCCTTCCTGCCGAAATCCTCCACCCTCTGAGTGCTCCCTCCCTTTCTTGCTCTAACTGGGGCCCCACCCTCCACTTCTGCAGTGGCCCAGCGGGATGGCCGGGAGCCATCATTCCCAGATCCCGTTTCCCCTTGCACACGCTCAGTCCTGAAGCTCAGGTGTCGGCGCTTCCTGCCCCGCCTTGTTGGTTTCGGCCCCCTGGCAACCGCTGCTCCTCTCGTGAAGGACAGAGCTCCTGTGCACTGCCCCACTCCTGTCATTCTCCGATGCTTGAAAAGCCAGAGCAGTGATCCTTCCACCACCTCGACCTTCGGGTTTTTCCAGCTCCTGTCTTCCATGTGGCCTCGGCCCCTGTCTCCCTGTCACGCCCTAGATCAGCTCTCAGCGTGTTGGACCCCTAAGGAGTTAAAAAAAAAAACAAAAAAAGTACTGGTACTTGGCTTCAGCCATCAGAGCCTGATGTGACCGGTGTGAGTGTGGTGTAGGCTTTGGGGTTTTAAGCAGTTATCCCAGATGATCCGGATGCCTGGCGAAGGTTGGGAGCCACTACCCGGTACTTGTCTTCAGTAATTGCTCCCTTCTCTGCCTACGAATGGCAGACGTTTCTACCCTCTGACCACTTCCTCCTAGCTTCCCAGCTCGCCCCTGCGAGGTCTCCAGCCTGGCAGTTCTTGGGCCTGGCCATCATTTCTAGTCCTCTGTTCTGCTTTTTCCTTTAGTGTAAATTGTGCATCTGTATCTGAGACCAGAGACAGAGGCTGGAGGAGGGCCCCAGGGAGCACGTGACAGCCCAGCCCCACAACCCTCGACCCTCATCCCCTCCCAGCCTAGGGCCTTGCTCCTTGCTCCCTGCTCCCCTCCCGGCTCTTTGCACCTTCTCGTCCTCTCTCCCCCATCCCGTCTCATCTCAAGGTCAACGAGGTGACCTTCCACCTCATTTTATGGGAAAGTCGAAGCCGCCAACGCAGAAGTCTCCCACACAGTATTGCCCTCAGCCTCCACGTGTGCTGGCGGCTGACCGAGCACTTTTCTGTTTCAGTGGGTGAATTGTCTCTGCTCCCATCTCCGGCCACCCCTCCCTCTCCTCGGGCGCCGTTCCCCTTCCCTCTCACCCACTCAGTGCCACCACACCGGCGGCTCCCTGCTCTCTTGTAACAGCAAACGGTGCCTTCCCAGATTGTTCTTGTCACCAGAGAACACGTCCACCGTGTAGTTCGTTCCTAGCCTACAAAAGAGAACTCTCCCTGGACCTTCGCCCTCCCTACTACCTCTGCCTCTTGCCCCTTTCCTCTGTTCCCCTCGGAGCAGAAAGGCTCCCGTCCCAGGAAACCCCTCGGTGTCCAGCAGAGCGGTCCCGTCAGCTACCCTGCTCCAGGGGCAGGCTGCTGGCGCTCGGTCTCGCCTTCCCTCCCTGCTCACGTGACCCCACCGCGCTCATTCCGTTCAGGCTCTCGTGACCAGCCTTCTGCTCCCCCGGTCCCCAGCACACACAGTGTGGAGCCCACATTGTCTGCCCCATCGGCCGCCTCTGATGGAGTGGTCACGCTCCGCTCCCCCCGGGCCCTTCTATCATTTGGCTTCTATGTATCCTGCCTCACTGGCTGCTCCTTTTCATTGTCCGTGTGGGTTCCTCATTTTCCTCACTAACGTGGGCGGGAGCCCTTGCTGGGTTTGAACAGAAACCTGAAGGAAGTGGGGGTGCTGGCCATGGGGAAGGAGAGTTCCAGACCCAACACCAGCCCGCACAAAGGCCTGGAGGTGGGCGGGTACGTGGTATGTCTGAGGAGCAGGGAGGAGGCCCCTGTGGCTGGAGAAAGGGGCCGAGTGGGAGGAGGTGATAGGCAGGTCCTGTGGGGCCTTGTGGGCCATGGGTGGGACACTTGACCTTTTCAGATCCGAGTGAGACAGCAAGGGGAGGTGGGTGAACACAGTTAGCGAATCTGTCTCTGTTCCCTCTTTGGGTCTGGTTTCTGCCTTCTGATTCAAACCCTGGCTCTGTGATTTGGGGCAAATCACTTTGCTGCCCTGAGCTTTGGTTTTTTATCTCTAAAATGGGCATAAAGTAGTAACTTCCATCATAGGATTGCACACAGAAGAAAAGTTGGTATGGGGGGTGAATGCTCGAGTGTTAACTTCTATGGTTAATTTCATTAATCTTAATATTCTTGGTGTTATTAACATTGTCGTGAGCATTATCTTTGCTTTCCCAGCAAGCCCTGGATGAAAATATGGACCTCCTGGAGGGTATAACTGGCTTTGAAGACTCCGTCCGAAAATGTAAGTTCCTCTCTGTGTCTGGGCTCCCCAGGGGGAAGGGGTAGGGAGTGGCAGCAGGGTCCTGGGGGTGGCCCTTCACCATCTTTGTCCCTGATCTCTACAGTTATCTGCCATGTTGTGGGCATCACTTACCAGCACATTGATCGCTGGCTACTGGCTGAGATGCTCGGGGATCTGACCGGTAAGGCCTCTCTGGGTCCCTGGTGCCAGTCTAGGAGGCTGGGGGTGGTCAGGGGCAGTGGGCCTCCACCAGTTCCTCGGCTGGACCCACCCTTGCGTCAGCAAGTCATTCAAAGGCACAGCCCAGCTCATTACTGAGGGAGTGAGGAGCTGGCGTGAAACGTACTCTTCCGTGGAGATCCTGTGGCATTCATTTATTCTGCCTAAGTTCTCTGAATGCCTTCTCTGTACTACCAGGCACTGTTCTAGGCCTTGGGGATACAGCAGTAGCGAAACAGAATGGTTCGGGTTTGCTCTCCTCAGAAACAAATAACAAGATGAGATGTGTGTGTTTCGTGTCAGCTCGTGGGGGCGAGGTGGCTAGGTCCCTCAGTGGAGTTAGGCCAGGAGCCTGAAGGATCAAGCAGACGAGGCTGCTGAGGCAGGGACGCGCAAGTCTCATTCACAGAGCGGCCAGGGTGCCTGGCAGAAGCACGGTGAGCGAGGAGCAGAGAGGTGGCGGGAGGGAGAGCCTCAGATGCCATGGGGCCTCCTGAGGACTTAGTCCTTTGTCCTGAGTGATCTGGAGCCCCAGGAGGGTTCTGAGCAAGGAGGGACATGATCAGATTGGGTTTTTTAAAAAATCCTTCCAAAAGAAAGAAAGAAAGAAAACTGTGTTTATGTATTTGCTTATTTCTACAAGAAGTAACACAGGAAGAAAAATAAAATGAAGAAAAGTGGTTATTCCTTGGAGGGTCAGGGGTGAGATTTGTCTGGTACCTTATTGGGTAGTTCTGCTCTTTGATCCGGGTAGGTGTACGTGTGTGATTTTAGTTTTTTTAGCAGAAACTGACTTTTGTTGGACACTGTTTCAGGCACTGTACTAAGTGCTTTACATCAGATATTTTATTTGTTTACTTATTTATTTTTAAAGTTTATTCATCTTTGAGAGACAGAGAATGAGCAGGGGAGAGGCAGAGAGAGAGGGAGACACAGAATCTGAAGCAGACTCCAGGCTCTGAGCTGTCAGCACAGAGCCCGACGCGAGGCTCAAACCCATGAACCATGAGATCATGACCTGAGCTGAAGTAGGCCACTGAACTGACTGAGCCACTCAGGTGCCCCAATA